GATGCCCCGTGATCGGCTCCCTGAAGCTAACTGCCTACACATCAGTAAATGAGGGACTTACCCGGGAGATGGCAGCACCGCAAGTTTTTTTTTTTATTATTATTTTCTACCACAGACGTGGCCACACATTTACAATGCTAACCAGCATATATACATTTTCTTCTGTCCTCCATGGACAGGGTTAGAGAAATGTTAAACATAGAGTTCAAGGGTTTATTGAACACTCAACCACAGAAGGTGATTCGGTGCTTTTAAAATGCTAAGCTAACCTACATACGTAAATACATAGATACACAGATTTACGTATGCCTTACATAAAGTGTTAGATGTGTCTTTTACATAGTGTCATTAATGTACATTCACAAAGGTGAAATGTAATTCTGATCAGCTTCCATATATACTTTATACCCATACATATACATACACACACATATACATACATATATACACACACATGCATTCACATACATTTGTCTCATTTACTCTGACAGGGTGAGATAGCTGATAAAGAAACTAGTGTGCAATTAAGCACTTAATCACTGAAGGTGATGAAGGTGCTTTTACAAGCTCAGGTTATATAGTTACATCATATATATACATTGAATAAATTATATATTGCATGGTCAATCTTGGATACAAGTCCAATATATCAAATGTTCCAGTACTCGTATAGTAATTACAGAGTTCAGCATACCTTAGCCCAGGAGGGCGAAAGTCAGTCAGTATGGGACATTCTACAATATAATGTTCAAGAGAGTGCATGTTTTCTCTTTCACAAAGTTGACACATTGTGTACTCGACATTTGGGTTTTGAGAAAGCTGCCAGATACGTCTATATCCCAGGCGTATTCTGGCCACTATAACATCACATTGCCGGGTTCTTGTTCTATTAGTCCCATATGTGAATGCCTCCTCACGATATCTATCATAATATTTAATGCTACAACTTTCAGGTCTTTGTGAATTTGTTAGGTCGGTGAGATTTTCATTAGATATTTGTTTAAGTATTCTCTTTGTCACTGCTAATGAAACACCCATATCAATTTCTACCACTGGTTTTCTGCAGGCTGTCTTAGCAAGCATATCAACAGTGTCATGCCTTGAGATGCCAACATGTGATGGTATCCATAGGAATTTAATCTCAAATATGTTTTCTTTAGCAGCTAAAACATTCATTCGAATATCACTGACTATTTTCTGGGTGTCACTACTATGTGCATTCAGTACCAGGAGTGCACTCTGCGAGTCACAGTATATAAGTCCACTGCCTTTGTCTTTTAAAAATTCAGTGGCAAGGTATATGCCTGCAAATTCGGTTTGAGTTGTACTTGCCCAGTCATTGACGCGCTTCATTGCTGTATGTACGAGAGAAGATTGTTCAAATATGTTACATGCACATCCGGTACATCGTCCACCTTCTTCTACAGAGCCGTCGGTATAGCACTGATACACATCGTTACCCATACTCTGAGTACTTTCAGTGATGCTTTTCAGTGTTAACTGTTTTAATAATGTAGTGTGCACACTATCTTTCTTGGGCGCATTTACAAAATCAACTGATAGATCCCAGTTATCCCATGGAGTAATTGGTTGATTAATCATTAGTTGAGTTGGGTACATATTTAATATTTTGATGGAGTTGGCTACCTTGTAGAACCAAAATACATAATCAGATTTCGTTCTTCTTCTATAGACCTCAGGTGAGTGCAGCATATTAGAAAGTTTAGCTTGAAGCTTCATGTGTTCTCAAGATGAAGACGAGACTCCCGACCGCAACAGACGTCCCAAGGCCACACAAGGCCGGAGAGGGCATGGAACATTCACAAGATATTTGGTGGCCAAGACCCTGTTCGAGTTCCAAAACCCCTTTTTAGTGCCCGAATGTCAACCCAAGACATATTCCCCAAAACAGCAGCGAGAGCAGCATATTTACTCACATCAAGGGCACGAGGGGTAGACCGCAGGCTGGCTAGACTTGATAATTGCGGACAACCTGAGACACGATCCTTCGAACAGGGAACCAGGGAAAGGGGATCAACCCAGAGTGTGTCCACTGTTACTGAACCAGTGCCCGCAGGTAGCGACATAAAGCTGTCACTGGACACAAAACATAATGCACCCACAGCCGAACATCAACCAAGCATCAACCACCACGGAACCCTATGGGAGGCAGCTGTCTATGAGCAGAACCCCATGTGCCAGAGAAGAGCATGAAGCTCCCCAACCCGACCCCCCAGAGGCCAAAGGTAACAAAAACAAAGCCTTCAAAAAACAATCCCGAACCGAAGGGGCCGCAACAAACCTAGGGAAGTAAAGAAAAGAAAGCACCTGGTTCAAAGACCAAGACGGTTCAAGCGGCAAGACAGCTCAAACATCAAAACGGCTCAAGCAACAAGACGGCTCAAGCGGCGCATGAGCAGGCCGGAGGTTTTAAAAATGTGCAGGAGAGCTTGCGGAACAGGGCAAAAGTGACATCCTCCCCGAACACAAGCTGGAGCGGCTCGTCCAATGTGACATGATAAGAAGCGAGAGTATTCAGCATGAGATGCCAGTCCAAAAGAGCCAAGAAAGGGCATGACCACTTGTACAGACACCGACAACACCCACTGAAGGGAAAGGAAATGGCGAAAAGACCGCCAGGAGACTTCATACCGTCTCTGAGACGAAGACTGCAGGTGGGACACCATCAAAGAAGCCACCTGATCACCATACAAGTGGTGATACACCCACGTCAAAAAAAAAAAAAACGAGAAGAGCAGAAGAGTAAGTTGAACCAGCAAGTTACCTCGCTGGCCTGACCTGCTAAAAGAGGCGGAGCTGCGGAAAGACTCCAGGGTTCGGACACGGAGCAAGCAGCGCCTGAAACCAAGGCTGGGCCGGCCACCATGGGGCCAGGAGAAGCACCCTTCCCCTGATAGAATTCGAGCCGAGCCAGAACCCGAAGCAACAGCTGGACTGGGGGATAAAGGTACAGGAATCTCCACCTTGACCAGTCCTGCCAGGAAGCATCTACCACAAAAGCCTCGCAGTCGGAGAATTGTGCCATGTATATAGGTTGACGCAGAGACCACGCCAACGCAAATAAATCAACCTCCAGAAGCCCATACGTCCGACAGAGCCAAAGGAAGGAGGTGACGTCGACCATCCACTCCGTGGAAAGCGGAATGAAACGTGACAGGCCATCTGCCACAACGTTGGACACGCCCCGAACATGAACGGCGGTGCGGAGAGCTGTACCCAGAGAACTCAGCAGAAGAGCTACCCGAAGCGACCAGCCCCAAAGAACCACAGAACGCAGACACCCGGGTTGAGACAGACAATGAACCATGAGTGCAATCCGAATGGAGCAGGATCAGAGAGCCTCGAGGAAGCTGAATCCACGCAATGCCAGTCACACAGCCGCAAGCTTCCGCACTGTGCTCTGAACCCAAAAGAAGGATGGAACCCAACGACTCTAGCCAGCCTGGTGAGTATTGGTCACAAAACCCCAGCCGAGGGACGAGGCGTCAGTGAAACAAATCAAGCGCGGAAAGGGGAAGGCACCATGGCACTGAACCCCGTAACATCCGAAGAGGACGCCGGTGACTCGGCAATGGACGTAAAGACACCATAGTGTAAACCCAGTGGTCATGAGAGAGGTGAAAGGGGCTGCCCCGAAGATACCAGAACAGCCTCCGAAGCCAAACCCTGCCCAGCGGGTAAACTAGCTTGGCAAAGTTCAGGCTCCCACACAACTGCTCGAGTAACTGCCAAGTGACCCTGGTCCCACTCAAAAACAGCTGAAGTTGGGACCGCAACCAGAGCAACACCGCAAGAGAAAGAGAGGGAGAAAACTGCAGTCCGTGAATCCTACACAGGGCCACCCTAGTCCAAACCCGAGACTAAGATGGGCCACTACAATCCTGGTTAACCACGTGAAAATGCAAGGTGCCAGATTCAGACTAAATGGAAGACAACGAAAGCGGTAAGCCTGTCGCCCAACCACGAACGAGAGCAGGGCGAATCTCACCCACCTGGGAAGGAAGCAAGGGCATAGGCTGAACCACGGTTGAAATAACTAACGCCCCTAAATCCTGGTCTCTGAACCCCAAGCAGGGCAGCTCCTGGGCTTCTAACTGGACAACCAACCTGGCTCGTCGCAACAAAGAAAACCGACTCGCTCATCGGTCCTTATCTCAACTATGGTATTTGTGCTTGGGGTTCTACTACCCAAAATCATTTACGTCCTCTAATTACTCAACACAAAGCTGCTATTAGGACAATATCCAACTCTGGCCCCAGACATCACTCGGTACCCCTTCTCAAATCTCTGAATATGTTAGATGTTAAGTCTGCACATCCTCTCATGTGTATTATATACAGTACATATAAAACGTTGAACTGTAATGCCAATCCTGACCTCAAAAAGCTTCATTAAAGGTTGTAACAGAACCCATGAGCACCACACCAGAAACAAATACCTTTTTGATATTCCAAGAGTACGACTTAATCAAACTTGAAATGCTCTACAAATCAAGGGACCCAGAATGTGGAATGACCTTCCCAACCATGTTAAAGACTGTACCTCTCTCAACCAATTTAAGATAAAAACTAAGTACTACCTAGTTAACTCCCTGTAACCTACCTTACCCCTATAATGTCAACCCATGTCTGCTATTTTTAAACAATGCTGTTTGTCGACCAAATTATATTGTTGCTGTTTTCCTGCCATGTTCCCCCCTTTTTTTATTTTTTCTCAACGCAATTTATACTTTAATCTCAATTAGTATTAAGTTTTAGTCTTTAGTGTTTTCCTGCCCGAAACACTTTGCGTAATAGTGGCTTTAGGCATTGTATGTACTAGCTCTATCTATAAATTCATTAATATCTGTATCACCCCTTGTATGTATGTACTTTACCTAAATAAACATTTGTATTTATATTTGATGAGTGAGGTTGCACTAAAAGTGTTGCGGGTAGGGGAATGAGTCGGGTCTCGCTAACAGAGTATTCACCAACAGGGGCGTCAGTGGTGGCAGGAGTCGGGTCAGTGGCATGTGCGCTGCTGCTGGGTGTGGCCACGCTGCTGTGCCCGCTGCTGGTGGCCATGCACTCCACAACCAAGAAGGTTCTCATTAAGTTCCGCCATGCCACCCTCGCTAAGATGATTTGCATCGCTACCTCAGGTCAGTCCTCTACTATCCTTCATCACAGTATACACGTGTACACTGTAGTTCAGTTAGCCTAATAAAACTAAATTATAATATTTAAAACTAAACACTAATTGGCTAAATAAAACTGTGAAAATGAACTTTGGAGAGTTAATTTTTCAACTTCCTTCTCAAGTGACAATAAATGTAAGGAAAATAAAGAATATTTGTGCTGGAATCTTTGAGCTGACCCTTTCAGTCACATTATATATATATATATATATATATATATATATATATATATATATATATATATATATATATATATATAAAATTATTGAATGTGACTAAAGTCCACTTTGGGCACCCGCCTGGACCATCGGGCCCTAAGTATTGGTGTTGCCCTCCGCCTTGCCGCTCCTATCTCTACCGAACACCAGTTTATCTGCGGCTATGCATCAGCAGACCAATACGGCAGCCATGGTCTCATCTGTCGTAAGACTCTGGGAAAGATTGCTAGACATGGACCAGTCAATGACAACATCAAGAGAAGTTTAGCTACAGCTGGGTGCCCAGCACAAAGGGAACCCCAGTTGTGCAGACCTGACAACAGCCACAAACGCCCAGATGGAGTCACCCTGCAGCCGTGGAGGGATGGTAAACAGGTCGTGTGGGACTACACGTGTGCATCTACATTGGCTGATACCTATCTACCTCACAGTATAACTGAGGGAGGCGGGGTGCAAACCTTCAGGGAGACCCAGAAAACTAACAAGTACAGGGACCTAGAACGTTACAGGTTCGTGCCAATAGGCTCTGAGACCCCTGGGCGTCTGGGGTACATGTGCACTTAGGTTCCTAAAGGAGGTGGGTGAGGACCTCATTAGGGAAACTAGAGACTCAAGAGCGACCAATTTCCTGTTCCAGCTTCTCAGTGTCGCAATCCAGAGAGGAAATGCTTGCTGTATCTTGGGCATGCACCCCACCCCTCGATGAGCTGGATGAGCTCTTCGAACAGTGATTGTTATATGTGTGTGTGTGTGTGTGTGTTGTCTGTAAACTGTAACACAATTTATTTTATTTTATTTATATATATACAAGAAGGTACATTGGGTTTATGAGAGTACATAGCATAGATGTTTTTACATTCTTGTAAAGTCAATAGTACGCATAACTTTTCAGGCAGATCCTTAATCTAACAGAAAATTTTAAGTAGGTAATTTCTAGCAAAATTTATAAAATGTTAACGGGTACATTGTAAGAAAATATGACAAAGATTAATAGGTACATTAAAGTAAAATTTGAGGGTTATAAAAAGGTACATGATAGCATAATTAGAAGATTATTTCAAGGTATACTGCAATAAAATATGCATTCACTATAACAACTTATAGTGTTCACTATAACAACCATGATATAAGATGATAGCAGTGATTACAATGGTAAAGTTGTATGGCTTAGGTACATATATTGGGGGATTGGGTAGCACTAGATACAGTGCAAGTTTAAAGCACAAGGTAGGAAACTATGAAGATGAAATTAAATACTTTTTGGTTTTGTTTTTGAATAAGGCAAAAGTTGGACAGCTTTAAAATTCGTTAGGGAGTGAGTTTCATAGTCCAGGTCCCTTTATTTGAATAGTGTTTACACAGATTAAGTTTGACTCTGGGGATATCAAAGAGATATTTATTTCTGGTGTGGTGATTATGGGTCCTATTAAATCTGTCCAGGGAGAGTTTCAGAACAGGGTTCGCATTTAAGAACAGGGTTTTGTAAATGTAAATGGGACAAAAGAATGTGTTAAGTGAGTTTGTTTATCATGTTTAGGGATTTAAACACGAGGGCTGAGTGTTGTCTAAAAGCAGAATTTGTTATTGTTCTGATTGCAGATTTTTGCTGGGTGATGATGGACTTGAGGTAGTTTGCAGAGGTTGAGCCCCATGCACAGATACCATATGTAAGATAGGGATAGATTAGCGCGTAGTATAATGAGAGGAGAGTAGAATTTGGAACATAATATCTGATTTTAGAGAGTATACCAACTATTTTTGAGACTTTCTTGGTTATATATTATGTGTTGTATGTGTGTGCTGAAGTTGAGTCTCTTGTCCGCTTGACCACACTGACTACAAAAATGTTGGAAATCGTGAGACTTATGTACCCAACTTACTACAACGCTCGGTGGTCAACTCGGGCATAGATATTTCATTGAATCGCCTCACTTGGTGGGGCCACGTGAGCAACACAAATGCGAACAAGCTTGAATGGTCCCCAAGCCAATATGCAACTGAAAACTCCACACCCCAGAAGTATTCACCAAACAGCCAGGAGCACTGTGCACCTTGGCGTACCTGGTTTCTTAACTGCTGGTTCTTCAGGTACACCAAGGTGCACAGTGTTCCTGGCTGTCTGGGGTTCGAATCCTTCTGGGGTGTGAAGTTTTCAGTTGCATATTGGCTTGGGGACCATTCAAGCTTCATCACACACAGACATTATATATATATATATATATATATATATATATATATATATATATATATATATATATATATATATATATATATATATATATATATATATATATATATATATATATATATATATATATATATATATATATATATATATATATATATATATATATATATATATATATATATATATATATATATATGTCGTACCTAGTAGCCAGAACGCACTTCTCAGCCTACTATGCAAGGCCCGATTTGCCTAATAAGCCAAGTTTTCATGAATTAATATATTTTCTCGAATTTTTTTCTTATGAAATGATAAAGCTACCCATTTCATTATGCATGATGTCAATTTTTTTATTGGAGTTAAAATTAACGTACATATATGTGACCGAACCTAACCAACCCTGCCTAACCTAACCTAACCTATCTTTATAGGTTAGGTTCGGTTAGGTAGCCGAAAAAGTTAAGTTAGGTTAGGTAGGTTACGTAGTCGAAAAAACATTAATTCATGAAAACTTGGCTTATTAGGCAAATCGGGCCTTGCATAGTAGGCTGAGAAGTGCGTTCTGGCTACTAGTTACGACATATATATATATATATATAAATATATATATAAATAATGTTGTATCCCTTGTACAACCATATTATACAGGGTTAAAGTGTGTAGTACAGGGGTACATTGTTATACCGATTGTAGATTTTGTTATACAGTATAGTGTATTGTATACATTGTGTTGCACAAGGGATACATTGTGTTATACAGGAAATACATTGCATTTTACAGAGGGCTACATTGTGTCATACTGTACAGGGATATATTATGTTATATAGGGTGTGCAATATTATCATTGTATTGTACACTGTGGAGATAAGGATATAGTGGTAATTAATGGATATATTTTGCTTGCATGAGTACCTGTAGACGTGTCTGGTAATTATAGTTGGATTACCATGAATCACAAAAGACAATAAAATGTTATTTTAAAATATAGATAAAAGTGTGCTTATCAGCGAGGGGTTTATTGTTATGGTGTGGCACTTGACCAGGTGATGTGTTCATTACAGTGCTGTGTGGAGTGGTGAGTGTGTTGGCGTTCATGCTGGAGGTGTTCATATTCCGTGTAGGCGAGAAGTCTGGGCTCTACCTTTCCCTTAGCTGGGCCTTCGCTCTTCAGGTATGTCTCTAAATTATTCTCCCTTTCAGATAAACTTACCTTATTGATAGTCAATGTGTCTGCCAAATTCCTCATCTTAATGACTCTAATTTGTAAGCAATATTACGATAGTGACTTTATGTACGAATCGTTATTTACTAATGAAAGTTTACTCATTTTTATTTTCCTATACGTTTGTTTCTACAAGGTGATATTGATATGTGTATACATGTTTCAGGCAGTAGCGGTGATCATAGCAGCAGTGGCAGGGGTGGGGGCTGGCATAGAGTTCGGCTGGTCTCGCAAGCTTGGCGGAGATCCTACAGTCTACAGTCGAGATCCGGAGGGCACAGCTGCCACCACCATCTCCAACCCAAACTTCAAGGACCCTGGAAATGGTCACACAAATCATACTCGAGTGGGCAGTACGAGGGGAAGGAGCAGCCAGCGAGGAGCTCGGGTACACAGGAATTCCAACGGGGTGGCCATGACACACGTCAGTGGTCTGCCGTACATGGTCACGGCCACTGGAACCAATGGCCATCCAAGAGCCAACGGACTGGCTTTCGACCCTAATAGGGCTCCCCTAAGATCCTCTTTGAGAAAACCCAAACCCACGCCCCCAGTTGATGGCCAAGACTCCTCCATGGGGATCCACAATCTGGCTTTCACACAGTCCAGCCCTTTGCCTAAGAAAAAAGTTCGAATCCATACACAGTCGACATCAGTGTAGAAATGCTCAAATTCGCAATGTGTCATATTGCATAGTATATTTGACCTAAGTGCCACCTTTTTCTTTGTCACCCAGTGGCACTTAATTGTCTTCACCAAGTGCCACCCATTTTGTACTATGTATGTGCCTGGCACCTTGCAGCATTGCTGAGTATATGTGCAAGTACACTCACGCTAAGCGTGTCAATAATTCTGGTGCTGAGGTGTGACTTTACAGTGAATGAACGGTATATAGACGATGTACCATCATAGCAAATGGACTTGTATCTATTTGTAAAGTGAATTATCTAAATATTTTATATTTCGAGAATGAAGACACATTCGACTACAGGACAAGTGTTTATATTTTGGAAAATATATGAGTGTATGTTTTACATATAAGGCAAGTAATGTAACTGTACAGGACTGTAACTGTACAGGACTGTAACTGTACAGGACTGTAACTGTACTGAGCTGATGGAGTTTTGTCTGAACTCTGACAAGTGGAAAAACAATCTAAGCCAAAGCGAACTTTAAGTAGGTCTGAAATATTGCAATAAGTTATAAAAACATGTTTAGTAATACAAGCCCGCCTACATAGTGGACGAGATCTAAGATTATGTAAAATTGATGTTATAAACAAGAATTCTAAGCTCGTCACAAGTGCTCAAACATTATTTAAAAAAAAGAATGTTAAAGACTGAACACAAACTGCATCTCCAAAAAGGAGACATAACAAGGCTCTCATGGTTGTGACAATAACAACTTAGAAATACAGTGCAACACTGGATTTGTAGCCATATCATCAATACAGTATACTGTGTGTATATATATATATATATATATATATATATATATATATATATATAATATATATGTCGTACCTAGTAGCCAGAACGCACTTTTTGGCCTACTATGCAAGGCCCGATTTGCCTAATAAGCCAAGTTTTCCTGAATTAATATATTTTCTCTAATTTTTTTCTTATGAAATGATAAAGCTACCCATTTCATTATGTATGAGGTAATTTTTTTTATTGCAGTTAAAATTAACGTAGATATATGACCGAACCTAACCAACCCTACCTAACCTAACCTATCTTTATAGGTTAGGTTAGGTAGCCGAAAAAGTTAGGTTAGGTTAGGTAGGTTAGGTGGTCGAAAAACAATTCATGAAAACTTGGCTTATTAGGCAAATCGGGCCTTGCATAGTAGGCTGAGAAGTGCGTTCTGGCTACTAGGTACGACATATATATATATATATATATATATATATATATATATATATATATATATATATATATATATATATATATATATATATATATATATATCTTTTTTAATGACGGTAATGTGGGTCCATATGTCCCTGACCAGTTCGTGCCAAGGTATTTTAGATGACTTATCACCCAGCAGTGCCTGTGCTGCCAGCAGTGCCTGTACTGCCAGCAGTGCCTGTACTGCCAGCAGTGCCTGTACTGCCAGCAGTGCTTGTACTGCCAGCAGTGCCTGTACTGCCAGCAGTGCCTGTACTGCCAGCAGTGCTTGTACTGCCAGCAGTGCCTGTACTGCCAGCAGTGCCTGTACTGCCAGCAGTGCTTGTACTGCCAGCAGTGCTTGTACTGCCAGCAGTGCTTGTACTGCCAGCAGTGCCTGTACTACCAGCAGTGCCTGTACTACCAGCAGTGCCTGTACTACCAGCAGTGCCCGTACTACCAGCAGTGCCCGTACTGCCAGCAGTGCCCGTACTGCCAGCAGTGCCCGTACTGCCAGCAGTGCCCGTACTGCCAGCAGTGCCTGTACTGCCAGCAGTGCCTGTACTGCCAGCAGTGCCTGTACTGCCAGCAGTGCCTGTACTGCCAGCAGTGCCTGTACTGCCAGCAGTGCCTGTACTGCCAGCAGTGCCTGTACTGCCAGCAGTGCTTGTACTACCAGCAGTGCCCGTACTGCCAGCAGTGCCTGTACTACCAGCAGTGCCCGTACTACCAGCAGTGCCCGTACTGCCAGCAGTGCCTGTACTGCCAGCAGTGCCTGTACTGCCAGCAGTGCTTGTACTACCAGCAGTGCCCGTACTGCCAGCAGTGCCTGTACTGCCAGCAGTGCCCGTACTACCAGCAGTGCCCGTACTGCCAGCAGTGCCCGTACTGCCAGCAGTGCCTGTACTGCCAGCAGTGCCTGTACTGCCAGCAGGGCCTGCAGAGACCACGACAAGCCCTTCAGGTGCTGCCTGTAAATCTTTTGAATGCTTGGTTAATTATCAACCCTTCAAGTCCTTATGATTGCCACTATGTTTTTACTGGTGTAAAGAACACTGTATATTAATAGACTTATTCAGGCCTTCTTAAAACTATCACCCAAATAAATATATAAATAAATAAATATATATATATATATATATATATATATATATTTGAATAGTTGACAAACATTTTGAGTGATGTGTTAAAGTATACTCTTAGAGTGACAGAACTGGTGACACTGTGTTCTAATGTGCCCTGGCTTTGTGTATACAAAGAATGTGTAGCAATATATATATACTGTACTAATATATATGTGGACACTTTACATACAGATTCTCAATTATTTTATGACTTGACATATTCATCAGCAATATACAGATTAATCAAGTATGAAAAATAAGCTTTAAATGGTATTTTACATTCCATATACTTTGTTACGCTGTAAAAACTCATAGAATATTTATTTTAGTTACTTATAGTAACCTGTTGACTTAACAGACCTACTTATAATGTGATTCATTTATTGCCAAAATGACAGCACTGTACCTATTACAGAAGCTACAGTTACAGTGTATATTATTACTTTTCTCAGTGTGTTCTAGAGCACCTAGAGTGAGATCCGGGATGCAAGAGTCACGTACTTGTATGAACTCTCAAAGAGCCCAGTTACTGGGCCAGACAACCAGGCTCCTGCACACCCTCAATGTTTGTGGCGATGCCTAAGGTGGTGTGGGATATGTTACATTTAGACATGTGTTGGAGAAGGCTCCCACACCTGTGATGATCCAACCTTTGCCTCCCACACCTGTGATGACCCAACCCTTGCCTCCCACACCTGTGACGACCTAACCCTTGCCTCCCACACCTGTGACGACCCAACCCTTGCCTCTCACACCTGTGACGACCCAACCCTTGCCTCCCACACCTGTGACGACCCAACCCTTGCCTCCCTCACCTGTGACGACCCTACCCTTGCTTCCCACACCTGTGATGACCCAACCCTTGCCTCCCACACCTGTGATGACCCAACCCTTGCCTTCCACACCTGACTAGCAATATGTTGAAACTGTTGGTGAGTGATGATGTAAATATTTGAAAATGTGCCGCATGGTGAGCAATGTGTGTTAGTGTGTGCTTGTGTTATCTCAGACAGATTCCGTCCATCTGCTGTGACCAACCCCCAGTACAGGGGTGGGGAGAGGGGGGAGGGGAGGGTTACCTATCATGTTTCACGAGGTCTTCTTTGTTTACACACACACACACACACACACACACATAATATCACTAAAGATCTGCAATCGGGATGATAACGATCATAAATGCATATATGTGCATTTATGATCGTTAATTTAAGCATGGACTTGTCCACCGTCAAGCAACACATGGACAAAGGAGGAGCTAGATAATAAGCAAGAGGGTCTTATAACAATAATGAGAAAAATTATAGTGAGACTTGAAGATACGTAAACCTCATCCTGGAAACATTCATGTTTCAACATGTTAAACAAGCTACGGGGATAAGGGAAGGGAATGTTCCCTCCATGCTGGATTTGATATTTACCAGGAAAGAGGAAGAGATATTTGACATTCAGTACCTCCTTCCCTTGGATAAAAGTGACCATGTCTTTTTGGGAATAAAGTATGCAATGTGTTATAATCTGGAAGAAAATGAGGTTGAAGCAGTTGAAAAGCCTGATTTCAGGAGAGGTCATTATAGGGAACTCAGACATTTCTTTAAGGAATTTGACTGGAAAGACTTGCTGTTAGAACATGAGGCAAATGAGATGTATGTCAAGTTTTGTGAAATATATGATAAAGGCACAACAAAATTTATACCAAAGCAGTGATGCAGAACTAAGAAACAGGATTGATTCAACAGAAATTGCGAGAAAGCCAGAGACCAAAAGACACAAAAATGGTATCAATACAAGAAGAGGCCAAACCCCCAAACATACCAGTGATACAAAGATGCGAGAAACTACTACACGATAGTGAGGAGAGAGGCAGAAAGACATTTTGGAAAAGGGATTGTGGACAAATGTAAAACAGAACCAGGTCTATTCTATAAATTCATAAACAACAAATTGCAGGTAAAGGATAATATTCAGAGGTTGAAAATGGGAAATAGATTCACAGAAAATGAAAAAAGAAATGTGTGAAACATTAAACGAAAAGTTCCAAAGAGTGTTTGTGCAAAATGAAATTCTTCAGGGAACCAGACACAATAAGAATTCCAGAGAACAACATAGAGCATATAGAGGTGTCTAGAGACGTGGAAAAAATGCTCAAGGGGCTAAGTAAGAACGAAGTAGTTGGTCCAGATGGAGTTTCACCATGGGTTCTGAGAGAATGTGCACCTGAGCTCAGCATTCCACTTAAACTGATTTTTCAGGCATCCTTGTGTAAAGGAGTTGTAGCTGAACAAATCCACAAGGGCCATGACAAGGATTCGAACCTACATCTGAGAGCATCCCAGGTTCGAATCCTCGTCACGGCCGTTGTGGATTTGTTCATTTGATACATCACACTATTGTATTGTGAAATCTGTGTGTAAAGTTGTAGCTGATGTGTGGAAAAAGACTAACATCATTCTGTTCCAATCTACAAAAGTGGCAGCAGGGAAGACCCCCTCAATAGGTACCTGTATCATTGACAAGTTTAATTGTCAAAATATTAGAAAAAATAATTAAAACTAAATTGGTAGAACACCTGGAGAAAAACGATATAATATCAGACAGACAGTATGGTTTTCGATCTGGAAGATCCTGTGTAATGAATTTACTCAGTTTCTATGATTGAGCCACAGAGATTTTACAGGAAAGAGATGGTTGGGTTGACTGCATCTATCTGGACCTAAAAAAAGGCTTTCGACAGAGTTCCACATAAAAGGTTGTTCTGGAAACTGGAACATATTGGAGGGATGACAGGTAAGCTTCTTACATGGATGAAAAATGTTCTGATAGAAAAATGAGGGCTGTAATCAGAGGCAATGTATCGGACTGGAGAAATGTCACAAGCGGAGTACCACAGGGTTCAGTTCTTGCACCGGTAATGTTCATTGTCTACATAAACGATCTACCCGGTGGAATACAGAATTATATGAACAAGTTTGCTGATGATGCTAAGATAATAGGGAAGATAGAAACCTAGATGATTGCCATGCCCTTCAAGAAGACCTGAACAAAATAAGTATATGGAGCACCACTTGGCAAATGGAATTTAATGTGAATAAATGCCATGTTGTGGAATTGGAGAACATAGACCCCACACAACCTATAAATTATGAGAGAAATCTTTAAAGAATTCTGACAAAGAAAGGGATCTAGGGGTGGTTCTAGATAGAAAACTGTCACCTGAGGACCACATTAAGAACATTGTGTGAGGAGCCTATGCTACACTTTCTAACTTCAGAATTGCTTTTAAATACATGGATGGCGAAATAATAAAGAAATTGTTCACGACTTTTGTTAGACCAAAGCTGGAATATGCAGCTGTTGTATGGTGCCCATATCTTAAGAAGCACATCAACAAACTAGAAAAGGTGCAAAGACATGCCACTAAGTGGCTCCCAGAACTGAAGGACAAGAGCTACGAGGAGAGGTTAGAGGCATTAAATATGTAAAAACTAGAAGATAGAAGAAAAAGAGGCGATATGATCACTACGTACAAAATAGTAAGAGGAATCGATAAAATTGATAGGGAAGAATTCCTGAGACCTGGAGCTTCAAGAACAAGAGGTCATAGATTTAAACACACGAAACAAAGCTGCCGGAGAAAAATAAGAAAATTCACTTTTGTAAACAGAGTGGTAGACGGTTGGAACAAGTTAGGTGAGAAGGTGGTGGAGCCCAAAACCGTCAGTAGTTTCAAAGCGTTATATGACAGAGTGCTGGGAAGACGGGACACCACGAACGTAGCTCTCATCCTGTAACTACTCTTGGGTAATTACACACACACTTGATGACACTAGGAGAGAGGGAATATGATAGATGTATAAAATACTTAGGGGATTTGACAGAAGATATATATCGACATAGGGATATAGGGATTTGACAGAATGAATATATATATTACACACTTCCATACACTATATTGTATATATATTTATGTTTACACAAAAATTACATTAAGACATGGAAAGTGAAGATGAATGTTAAACCCCCTTAAAATACTGTGTACAGTACATATGTTCTTGCATGTGTACACGAGAGTCAGTTGTTATTTGATAGCTTCTTTTATGCCAGTTTTGTTTGTCGTACCTGTAATAAAGTTGTCATGTACATACTGTAAATGTTATCCCCCATTAACCACATAAGAGTTGATTGACAGTTTAGAGGTGGGACCAAAGAGCCGAAGCTCAAACCCCGCAAGCGCAACTGAGTACATAGGTCTATCAGGCAACGCTCACAGGCAGATGAATCAGTGTCCTTTTGAACCAAAACAACAGTTTTCTTAATGTATATATATTTTTGTACACTTCTTTTCTAAAGCTGATTGTTATGGTTTTGTCAGTCTCAGTTATATTAAGTTTTTCAGTTTGATTAATCTGGACTGTATTTTGGTATAGACCTTAACATATTACATGACTTTCACTCAATGATATGTATAACGAGTCTTTCATACAGTATGGGCCAAAGTGTGCGCTACACAGCAGTGATCACGAAGCCACAGGTGCCACACCAAGCCCTTCCTTTATATGACATTTAGAAAGGATTTTTGTGTCTGAATCCTTACAACAAAATTTGTAACCTTGACTTTAACCAAGGGCAATGTTGTACAAGACAAACCTATCATGTAAGACAAGCCAGTTTACACACATGACTGTAATTAAAGACAGGTGTTGAATGCTATATCTACACACACACACAACTAAACACAGGTGTTGTAAGCTATATGCACACATGACTAAACACAGGAATGTTAGCTGTGTACACAAACGTGACTTAACACACA